CCACCTGGGCGGCCTCTGCCGCCGCGGGACGGCCGGGAACCGGGGTGGGGGCCAGCCGGCAGGGGGCTGCGGGGACCGAGGAGGTCCGTCCCGGGTCGCGAGGGGTGGCAGGGGGCTCTGACCTCTCGCTCCTGACTGGGGGCCGCGGGGTCCGGCCGGTCCTTGCGCGGGCCGCGGAAGGAGGGAAGCTGGGGCGCCTGCCAGCCCTGCAGGTGGCCGGGTCGCAGGCCGGCCGCGGGAGCAGAGTGGTAACCTTACCCCCTGGCGACAGCAGCTCGAGGCTTGGCTCCCTGTGGCCGAAGGGGCCGAGTTGCGGGCAGCCAAGGCCTCCAGAAGGCGCGTCTCGGGCCAGGGTCGGTGAGGACTAGCGGGTAGGTGGGGACTGAGTGGTCCTAGATATCAGGAAGGAGGAGGGGGCTCTCCGAGGCCCGAGAAGCGAGTGTGGGAAGGAAGTGCGCTGGGCTGCGGCTGGGGTCAGTGAGGTGTTGGGTGAAGTATCTTGCTTCTAGGGTTTCCCTCCCTCCCTCACCCCAAAAGGATGTAGTTAGAAAATAGGGCCAGGATGTTGAGCCTGCCTGGGCCTTTGCTTTTTGGATGGTTGTGTCTTCATTGCTCTCACCCATTCGTTTTATTAGTTGTAAAAGAATCTTTAAGGCAATGCTTTACTTGTTGCCTCCTGCGAGAGCTCATTTTAGAAGAACTCGTTTGTTCTGCTGTTTCCCTCTTTGCTGCCCCTTGAAAACCACACTAAGGGCTGCCTACATTAAAATACAGTTCGTAGGAATTTGTAAATGACTTCTTGCCCTTCACTTTGTCACACTTAAGTAGCAGTTAAGCTTAAGATTTTTGTAGAAAATTCAATTGCCTTGAGAGCAAGTCCAGAGTTGAGCTGTCCAAAAGCAGGTGGTTTGTTGGTTTGCATTTCTGCTTTCAGAAAGGAAACCAATGCAGTGTCTTGTCAGGAGTTAGGGGCCTACCCCTCATTGCTTTTAGCCTGTTTGAGTCAATTGCCCTTACCTGGTTAAGATCTCTGCCTTAATAACAAGAACAAGGGCTGCTGTCTTTAATTTCTTAAAGCTCTTAAGACTTTTTTGTTACAGTTGTTAGGTGACAGTGGCAAATGGGCTACATCTATTGTGTATTACTGTAGAAGACTGAAATGCAAAAGTTAAAAATGATTTCGTGTGTCTAATGACATTGCTTGGTACAGATCACTGCATGAAAATATTACCAAGATAGGTAAAAATTTCTATAGCAAAGAATCTTCTGGAATTAGTGGCCTTCCATTTTATGAGCTTTATTTTTCAATATAAAATATTTAGGAGGTTACCCAGAAATCAGTGTATTAACATTCATAAAGTACATTGTGTTGAGTTAAGATGCATGAGTGGACTAAAAATATTCTAGAAGTCCTGTTACTAAGACATTGAGACTTTAAGAATGTTATGAACTTTGATATGCATCAGATGGAACACCTGACCACTGTCATCCAAATGACAGAAAAGTATCCAAACCTGTTTCCATGGTAACAGTCTGGTTAAGCTTGTCCTAACATTTGCACTTAAATAGACTTTTTTAAAAAATCATGTAGTTTGGCTTGAAATTAATGCAAACTTGGTATTAAAAAAAAAAGTAAGCTGAGTCTTCAAGGACTAACAATTTGTAATTGTAAATTTACCATTTTCGTATATTAGGCTAGCTCATTAGATGTTTTTGTAATTGGTAAGATACTCAACCGGCTTCCTGGAAAAGCATCGATCCTTTTCTATATTTTATCTGACTTTCAGTTCAGTGTTAAATGTTAGTGGGAATTTGTCCAGTCAAGTGTTTTTCAGTCCCTTCCCCTTTTTTTTGTGTTTAAGGGGTGGGAGAGGCACTCAGTTGTTTCTGCGAGATGTTTTGTCCTCATATACATTAACTAGTAAAGTTCAGCCAGAAAACGTGAGCACTTTTTTTTTTCTGGCAAAGTTGATGTAGCTCCATCGTATGTTCTTATCCTGCAAGGATTTAAACTTTTAAGTTTAAAATTTAATTGCTGTACTAGTCAAAATTGTATATGAATTCTACTAAGATCCAATTTTAGTAAAATTAAAGAACATTTGAGACTCATTATAGTCCCCTTATGAGCAGGTTTAACTTTTATTGTCTAATAGAACTCTTTCATTTTAATGGAACAATAAAAGTAACTTTTTACTTTTTTTAGTGACTTATTTTTAACTCATTGATAATCACTTTGGATCATCATTAGTAAAAAATGGTATCTTTCAATTTTGTGAAGATTCGTTGAAGGACCCCTTATCCCTTTACCTGGTTCACTGTCTCAAATGGAAATGAATTTATTCTTAAATTTTATAATTTGTGCATCAACTTGGCAAAGACCAACCTTTTAGGAAAATTCAGGCTAGATTGGTTGTTTTATGAAACCTTTTTTGAGAGAATAGTTTTCACCTGTTCCTGTGGTGGTCATTAGAGGAGTTAGCTGACAGCTCTCATATCTAATACAGTGTTAAGAATCTCAAGTCATAACAGTGAATACCGGAAGGGCGAAGTACCTTTGCAAAATGATCAAATAAATGGTGGGGGAGAACATTTTTGGGGGAAAACTTTGCAAGGTTACATACAGTAAGTTGCACAAATCTTAAGTGATATGACAGCTCAATGGCATTTTTACAAGTAAACACACCTGTGTAATCATTACCTAGTTCACAAAGTAGAACACTTTCAGCACCCCATAAGTCCCACTCAAGCCCTCCAGTCCCAATCCTTAGTCCCAAACTGCCAAGGAGGCCTGTTTTATTATAGATTAGTTTTGCCTGTTTTGAACTCTATACAATATATATTCTTTGTAACTGGCTTCTTTTACACAGATATAAGTATATCGTTAACTTGTGACAGCTTCTTTCTGAATACTGTATAATATTCCATTGGATAAATATTATATAAAGTTATGTATCCGTTTTACTGTTGATAGTCATTTGGATTGTTTCCCATTTTGGAAACAGGTCCTCTGAACATTCTCATACTTGTGTTTTGGTATATGTACATGTACATTTCTGTTGCATGTATACCCAGAGTGGACTTGCTAGATCATAGACAGTGGTTTTTCCACAGTGATTGAACCAGATTATACCTAATTCATATCATTTTTGTACAGTTTATATAAAAACTATACACATTTTATGTATGTAGCATAGTATGTGAGAATTTGAAAACCCATATATTTCAATTGCTAAATGTTCCTATAAAAAGACTTCTACTCTGAGAATGTTACTATACTTGGATGACTCTGTCTTAAGACAAATAAATTATTCCAATACTTCAACTTCTATTTTAGATATGGCTCGTGGACAGCAGAAGATTCAGTCTCAGCAGAAGAATGCCAAAAAGCAAGCTGGACAAAAGAAGAAACAAGGACATGACCAAAAGGCTGCTGCCAAAGCTGCCCTGATATATACGTGCACTGTCTGTAGGGTAAGGGGAACTAAAAGCTTTCCCATGGGCAGTGCTCTGGTTAGAGACTGGTTAGTGCAGGTTAAAAGTTTGTAGTCCTGGCAAAATAGATGACTTCCCTTGAAGTAGTCGATTTGAGAGCTGGCTATTTTTAGAAATCTATCTCTCTTCTCCTATACATAACAAATATTTGGGTTTCCGTGGCCAGGCACCATTCTCTAGGTGCTGGAGAAAAGGAATGAACAAAGTCCCTTTCTTCATGAAGAATTATGATGTTTTTATAAGGGTACGTAAAACACTTTGAACTCTGTAGGAAAGTCAGATCTACATTCTTAATTTAGAGCTATATAAAATGCTGATGAAAATACCTCTGCTCACATCGTTGGTTTTTTTGTCCTTCGCTAAATCCATAGTTTGAATTATCTATAAAACTTTATAGAGTATGTTAATATTGAGGGCTTTTACTAGAAATGTTTTATCAGACTTGAAGAACAGTAGTGAAAACAGCTACTACGAGTGCTTATTATAATGTACCAGGTACTGATCCAGATAGTTTACATGTATTTATCCACACAATAACCATATGAGAGAGAATACTTACATTATTCTCATTTTACAGACAAGTAAACTCAGTCATGGGAATTCAGTAACATGTCCAGGGTCAGCCAGCTGCAGACTGTGCTCTGGACCAGTCTACCACACTGCCTATCAAAGATGTGTTTCTGAAATTCCAAGTCAGAGCCGATTGCTTGCTTGTTTAAGCCCACTGCTCTTGAAGTTAGGGAGTAGATGAGTGCCAAAGGGGGAAAACAATAGTTGAGGTCCAGTGCATCTACTCTATCTGTGTATATAACTTTAAAGGCCTTATTCCAGAGTAGGATTGATGGCATGGATGGGGAAGGATCTTGATAAGACATGATTCCTGAACTATAGTTTATCATCTGTTAGTGTCATTGCCAGTGAAATAGAAGTTCCTAGGGCTGGTAGGTTCCATGGTAGTGCTGGATTCCCAGTGGTTCAAGTCCAGGATCTGGCAGCTTACTTTTTAGCTTTCTCTTTCTCTCTCTTCAAAAAGAAATAGAAGTTCTTACCTACAAAAAAGTTCTCATTAAGAGAGAGAATCTGGGGACCAGCAGTTGGCATAATGCTATGTAGCTCCCATGTAGTTGATAGTGGTTCTAGTCCTGGACCTGGTGGCTTAAACTCACACTGGGCACGTGTGCATGTGTGCCCAAGATCCTGAGAGGAGAATGGAGGAGAAGGGATTGTGGCGTGGCCATCCCCCCTGGGGGGGTGATTTCTCATTTTCTATCTCTCTGTCTCTCTGGTGAGTGCATATGCCCTATAGCAAAAACTTCTTCAAAAAAAAAAGAGAGAGAATCTGTTACATTAAATATCTGACTCATTGAATTTTGTTACATTCAGAATACTGAAATTGAACAGCTTCTGATTCTGTTTGGGAAAATTCAAGGTGAAAATAAATTTTACTAAATTAATGATGAAGAAATAACTTGACCTGAAAGTGCTACAGTAGTTCACATATTTAAAAGCTTATGACCAAAGGCACTTATTTCATGTTTTATGAAATTGAATATGTTGAATCGAGGGTCCTTGTCGAGGAAAGTCAGTGTAGTATAGTATTTAAGAACTGAAGTACCTAGTGCTAGATTAAAACAGGTCTTTGTCAGATTAAACTCGGGCCTTATTTCCTTCTCGTGTAAAATGGGTATGATGGTAGAGACTAAAGAGTATGGAAAGCTCTATGAGAACTGGGGTTACATGCTTATTGTAATAAGGGTTTAATAAATGTTTCCTATTGTTTGGTGTTAATCACAGAAGGAGACTACCTCATCCTGTGTGGCCTACCCTTTTTTCATAAATAAAATGTGAGAATATTAGGGATTTCTTTGTCGTGAGATCCTTAACATGTCAGCTACTGCATTCTAGGTATTTTAGTGTGGAACTAGCATAGCAGGTGGCATAGTGGTTATGTTGCTGGACTCCCATGTAGTCAACTGCGGTTCAAGGCCTGGATCCAGTGTGCATGCATGCGTACCCAAAATCCCAAGAGGAGAAGAGATTGTGGTGTGGCCACAATCCCTGGGGGTGATTTCTTATTTTCTGTCCTTCTGTCTCTCTGTCTCTCTAGTGAGCGCACACACCCCATAGCAAAAATCTCCAAAAAAAAAAAATTATTTTTACTGTTTTGTGATGATTGTCAGGAGCAATTTCAGGATTTTAAAAGTTAACGTAGTTTTAGTTTTTGTTTTATAACAAAGGTCTATTTTTTCTCATTTGCCCTATGTTTAAATTAGACACAAATGCCAGACCCTAAGACCTTCAAGCAGCACTTTGAGAGCAAGCATCCTAAGACTCCACTTCCTCCGGAACTGGCTGATGTTCAGGCATGAAGTTGTTTCCAGGTGACCGACCTCTTTTTCCATTGGTTTATTGATGTCAGAGTTGTATGTAAAATTAAAAGTCTCTTCTATAATGGCGTAATTAATTTCTGCCTTCTGAAACCTTATTGGCGTCTCTGTTTTAAGTTGATGTTTAACTTAATTTTATGTTTAACTTTACCGTTGTTACTTCCAATCGTTACTTTAGTAGAACACTTTACAGTTGTTGAAATCCTTATTTTGAGACCATTTATTTTCAGTGCCTTTGAAAACCCAAGTTTTTCCTATTGTAGCCAAAACTGGGGATGAGGGCAATGAGTGGATGCTGGCCAGCTCTGGTCCAGGAGTGAAAGAGGCTTATCACCTTAAAGAAACATATCATTGAAATATATTTGAAAGATATTGCAACGATTTCAAAATCTCTTCTCCAAAGTGATGCAGACCAATATTCAGGAGCACCTTTTTACACGTACTTATTTACAGTACTTAGCAGAGCTTGTAAAGATTAAAATGTAGGGCAAAGTGTGGGCATATGCTGTATAAACTTGGTAGTTCCTTGGAAGCCATCATTTTATACTTTCTATGTGGTTGGGTTCTTTTCCTCCTCAAATGATGGGGTGGGAAGAGGGTGTGTGTGTGTGTATGTGTACTTGAGATTTTCAGTAAATTTGCCAAGTATCTGTGTGTAAAATGCAGTTGACAAATCTATCAGAGACAACTTGATAGTCTTCTTAGATAGTTGAGAGGCATATGAGTTGCATTCGTACAATGGTTACAATCATTGAAAATATTGCTTATGTTTTCTAGGTGAATTCATGACACCTTTGACTCTTCTACTGTCTCAGACCTTAGGTAACAAACCTGCAGCTGCTTTTCTAACAAACTGTTGATCAGCAAAAATAAAGGGGCTACAGAAACTCATTTTTATCCTGTTCCCTTTTGGGCTTCACGCAAAGACAATTCTGTGTAAATGTACAGTTGACTCTGATTTGGAAATCTGAAAATCAGTCCATCCTTGTTATAAAAATTTTTTTACAATTGTAATTATATTGATGTTCATATTGTGTAAAATAACTCATTTAATAAAGTAGTACTTTGATTTTACAACATCACAGGATAAATGGTTCTAGAAATTCTGTTCTAACTTTCCACATTATTTGCCTTATAAAAATCTAATGAATTCATCAGCTAGAATTACAAGTGTAAATCTTAACTTCCCGTTCTCAGTTCAGTGGCAGCTTCATTCAGTAAACTAGAGCAGACTCATTCATTAAAAGTATGCACACAGTTTTATTGGTAGCTGATGAACTAGTTGAAGAATGACTTACCTGCTGCCTTTGTATATTGCAATCGTATGTCATTGTACCCCTCTGATCATTTCCTGTGTTTGAGATTGGAATATTTAAAATTACTCTATGACCTGGCTCTAGCTGCCAGCCAGGTGTGCTCTGTAGAAAATTGATTAAAAAAATTCCTAACAGCAGCTGGTTTGTCAGGGATTCCTTCTGAAAGATTAGTTTCTGAATTAGATTCCATAATGAAATAATCATTGGGCCTACCCTTTAACACATAAATATGATGGAACAAATGTGAACTGGTGAAGATCTGTTTTATAAATTATATGGATTCTTTGAAAATTCTTCAGGTTCTTTCATTTGAAATTGAAACCATTTTTGAAGTTTTGGGATGTTATTAACTATTTGGCTAATTTTATGAGTGGAGTTTGCATTAACAGGAAGATTGGAATGACTTAGGGCTGGGTTAATTCCTAGGAGTACCCTCCCTCCTTTCTTTTCTAAGTGAGCTGATTTTAGGAGTTTGCTTTGTGCTGGTTTCTAAAATCAAAGACTGTGTATAGAGCAACTTCCGTCTTAACTACAGAAGTATGAAAATAGGCCAATATTCACATTCTTTTGGATCTAAGGGTGGGGAAGCTGGTTTGTTTGGATTATAAGGTAAATCCTACCCAGTTAAGGAAGACTAACTTTAGGGGGTTCTTTAATTTTCTTGTGTCAGCTATTAATTGATAAAGTAAAACTGCAACTAAATTTAAATTTAACATAATAGGAAGAACACTAAAATATTTACTGGTAACTGCTTAGGAGCCACATATCTGATCCTGTGGATTTCAAAATGCATTCCCTCTTTCTGCTGTAACTCATCACTGTGTGTTTTGTAGCTCTGAATATTTTGCCCACCTTGTTCGTCTTCACTGTAAATTAAGAATTTCCAAGAAAAAACTTGAGTGCTAATAGTCTCTTAGCAACTCTTGTTCTTATACAGTCCTTTTTCGTGTGTATTTAATTTCCTAAATTTCAGGTTTAGTATTTGTTGCTTCCTAATATGTTGGTTAAACATTAGAATTTTATCTAATTTCTTGTTGGGGGAGATATTACAGAAAGTCTGGGTAAATTATAATTTACAAGTTTTTTAAAGTGCTTTGAGCATATGTGTGTTTATGTTTAGTAACAGCTCATTTAGAAACCATTCACAAATTTTGACTTAATTTTTTTCATTTGTTTTACTGACTGTAATGCAGAATGTTTTTTTCTTGTATTTAACCCCTTTTTATAAGCAGCAGAAGACACCATATTTAACTATCTCAGTGGTGGGCAAATAGCTGCACTGATCTCACATGAGACATTAGTTCTTATACTTCCTATGGGGATTATAAGTACAATCCCTTTTATTGTGTTTTAGTTAAATCTGCTATAATGAGAAAATTACAAGTGTTAAACATCCTTATTATTCAATGTGAGGGTTCTTTAACAGTTCACAGCAAAGTTCATTATAAAACTGTTAACGGTGTCTTCAAAGACTTGATAAGATACACTGAGAGAGAATTGGTCCATATTTGTATTTCCATTAGTTGCCAAAAAGAATGAGGTTAAGATTAAGCTTGTTTCCATTCTCTTCCTGTGAATATACATCCCCATGTTTAACTGACACACTGGGGCTCAGTTGTGTGCTGTACTGTCTTATTAAAGGAGATATTAAAGAAAACTAAACTAGTCTAATTTCTTCTAATTTTAAGAGGTTCTTACTTTGCCTCTTCCCCCCCCCACCCCCCGCGCTACCTTCTGAATTTAGAATTGTCTTAAGTGTAGCTTGGTAGTTCCAGTGGTGGCAAAAGATTTCTCCCATTTCCATTTGTTTACCCCCCCCCCCCCCTGGGGGTCTTTAGGCAACTTACAAAAAAAAAATCCCATTTGTTTCCCCCCCCCCCCCATTGTGGGTCTATAGGATACTTAAGAATTAATAAAAAATAGTTTGTCATTCTGAAAACTTGCTATATTGAATAAATGTGAGTTGTTGAAAGAAGGAAGTAATTGGTTATTAACATAAAAAGAATAATAAAGCACTAAAAAATGCTTAGGTCAGCTAATTGAATTGGATGGATAAATCCTTAATGACATCAACTAAGATTTGAGATGACACATTTAGTTTTATATTAAGGATACTATATATAGCTGAACGATTCACATTGTAATTCAAACCTGAGATATAGCATGAATAAAATGGAACTGACCAGATTTTACCAGATCCTCTCCCCAGAAAAAGTCCTATTTATTTTTATTAATATATGGAATATACTGTACTGTACTTTAAAATGTGTTAACGTAAAGACCCTTTTCTATAATATTGAGTCATCGGAAAAGTTGTGACACATTTTTGCATACTTCATGACTTTTCTGACAGCTTATATAATAATTAACCACAGTCAAAACTGCCACTAAAAATACCATATTTAAACTATTCAGTCTAATTAATTCATTTGTAGCAGGTTTCTAGTTTTGGAGGTTTTTGTTTGGTTTGGGTCAGAGATGTGCTAAAAATAGTAGATTCTATAGGAGTGGAGATCAGTACTAAGGGGTTGTGTTTACTGTTCAGAAATATTTCAGGCTAGCCTAATTTTACCCATTAGAAGTTTAAGAAAAATATGAAGGTTTAATGTGTAGATTTAATGAAATATCTATCTACTTGACTGAGAAAATAGGTATATATTATTAAACATCCAATCTGTCATTATTAATTGTGGATTGTCATATTAAACTGAAAATATATTTTATTTTAAATGTTCTTTTGTTAAGCTGTTTACTGAATTGCTATCTTTTTTTTTTTTTAAGAGAGATTTTTGCTGTAGGGTGCATGCACTCACTGTAGAGACAAGAGACAAAAGAGACAGAAAGCAAGAAATCACCCACCTGGGGGGATGGCCACACCACAGTCCATTCTCCTCTTGGGATTTTTGGGTGTGCACATACACGTACCTGGCATGAGTTTTAAGCCACCAGGTCGGGACTCAGAACCGCAGTCAACTACATAGGAGTCCAGCAATGTAACCATTCCGCCACCTACTGGTCCTGCCATCTTTTTTGTCCAACAGCCACTTTTTTGCTTCTATTTGTGTATAATATGGCTTGAAATTTAAAATATGCACATACAGAGACAAACTTTAGTCATTTGTTGATAGTCATAGGGACGGATAACTGAAGTAATCATACTGCTTTCTAATCTTTTTTTATGTATAGCATTATTGGTTCTTTACTTTTATATTACTAATAATGGCTTAGGTTTCCAGAGAACAAGTAAGTACCACACTTTATCACTACCTTTGTATTATGAAATCACATAAGGCCTTGCATTTTGGATTCTATTTTATTCAAATTTTAATTACCAAGAAGTACACTATCATGTTTCCTTTATAGCAGTGTACTGAAAATGTGATCTGTTAGCCGTATGTCCTGGTGTGCCAAAGATAGTCTTGGCTTAAAAACTAATATAATATTAAATATAAAAGTAATATTAAATATTATTAAATATTGAGATATCTCAGTATAAATCCTAATATTGCCTCTTTTTTATTCGCACGTCAACTAGTTTATAGGTTGCCTGTATCAAATAACTGAGGTGCTTTTTTAAAATGCAGTATTTTCTTAAAGATGTTTACAGTACTCAGAAATTCTTATTTATTAAATGGGAGCATGTGATCCTGGCAAGATTTGTTTTTTAAAGGCCTTGCGTCTATTTTTACCTAAAAGAAATTTTTTTATCGTACTGAGATTTAGGTCACTGGTAAAATGAATTAGATTTGACAACTTTAAAATACCTTTATTCATAGGTGTTCATATAAATTTTATGTTATTTGTACCAAGTTATTGAATCTTTTACTCCCCAATAATCTTTTCACCCGAAAGGCTTGGGTAAAATGGCCAGTTGGGGTGGGACGTACTGCCTGTTGGTATAGGCTGTCTTTGCTGAGGCAGGAAAGGGAAACTGACTGCCAGTGAGATAGCTTCTGGGATAATACTATTGAAAACTATAGTCAATTTATTTTGATGCAGGAAGTTCTACATACTATTTGATCTGGATCTCCAAAGTTTTCTTTTTAATAAATTCTTAATTTTAGAGTAATTATAGAACTATGGGAAAATTGTGACAACAGTTCAAAAGTATTCTCATATACTTCTCTTCCAGTTTCTGTTTATACTAATGTTAAAATCTTACATCATTGTGATGTTAGTCAACACTAAGAAACTGGGGCCAGCAGGTGGTGTAGTGATCAAGGTGTTGGACTCCCACATGGCTGACCGTGGTTCAAGTTTCTGACCTGGTGGCTTGAAAACCACACCAGGCGTGTGCATGTGTCCCAAAATGCTGAGAGGAGATAGAAAGAGAAGGCATTGCTGTGTGGCCATCCCCCTGGAGGGAGATTGCTCATGTTTCCTGTCTCCATCTCTCTCTGTGTCTCTGACAAGTGCACGTACCCTATAGCAAAAACTTAAAAAAAAAATTAAGAAATCAATATTAATATGTAAATGTTAGCTTGAGTTTTTCTATTAGTGTTTCTCTTCTATTTCAGGATCTAATCTAGAACATCACATTGCATTCAGTTATCATTTCTTCTTAGTCTCCTCTGGTGTGACAGTTTCTTAGTCTTTTCCCTTATTTTTCATGATCTTGACAGTTTTGAGGTGTTAGCTTAAGTGTGTTGTAGAATGTCCCTCACTTTGGATTTGTCTGATGTTTTATTTGGGATTACACTGGGGTGACAGGTTTTTGGAAAGAAGACTATGGAAGTGAACTGGCCTTCATATCACATTATCATGGGGGTGGGGTACATGGTCACCACTTGACTTCTCTAATGGCGTTAGCCTTTATCACTTGGATAAGGTGGTGTCCATGAGGTTTCTCCACTGAAAGTTACTGTTTTTTCCTTTTCATAGGTAATTTTTTTGGAAGCCCAGCCCTTACTTAAGGGTGGTAAGGATTAAGGGGTACGTCCTGGAGAGAAAGAGAGACAGAGGACACACACACATATATACACACACATAGTTGTCCAGAAAGTCATGACACACCCAATATATTGGAGCGCTGTTGAAATTTGTTCTCATTTAATTTTTTTCAAGCATTTATTTATATTCATATGAACTCATAATCCAGTGCTTTATTATTTGCTTTATTATTCAGATTATTTCAGCTTTGGCCTTTGGGAGCTCTTCCATGTGGCTTCTGTAACTCTTTGATATGCCTCTTTTACTTTGTTTTTGAGCATGTCCTTACATTTAATATTATAAGATGCTCTAGGCTCATCTTGTATTTTTCCTGCCCCAACCCCAGGGTGTTATTTCTCCAAGGAGCCCTGATTCCTTAGATTGGAGAATGATACGTAGAGACCCAGATCTAGGTCCTAGGTGTCAGTTTTGGGGATTTATTTTTTCCCTAGCTCTTTCAGATTAGCTCTTTAAATGAGTTTTTGAGATCTGAAGTATATTTGTAAGCTATAAAACATCGAAATGTGTTATAGCAAAGAGAATTAATCCTCCCCCTCCAAGAGGATTTTGCTATAGGGTGCGTGCACTCACCAAAAAGAGAAAGAAAGCAAGAAATCACCCCCCAGGGGGGATGGCCACGCTGCAATCCCTTCTCTTCTTGGGATCTTGGGCACGCATGCACATGCACCTGGTGTGAGCTTAAGCCGAGTCCGGGACTCGAACCGCTGTCAACTGTGTGGGAGTCCAGCAACATAGCCATTATGCCAGCTGCTGGTCCCAAGAATTAATCCTTTGGAATAAATTGCATTTAAGAGAGAATGCATATATATTTACCTATTTTTAGGTTCTATGGCTAAGTGTTTGGTGTGGTTTACAGATAACTCATATAGAAACATGCAGGAAAGAAATTGCCAGTGTGCTGAAGAGGTCGGTGTATGCCTGGAAGGGTAGGGAGTCGGCTAAGGGAAGAATAGGAGTGGAGACGGAAATCAAAGGGTGGGTAGCTGAGGGAGCACAAGCTCAGGCAAGTACAGAAAGTTTCTTTGAGAGCAAGTGAGTAGGCCAGCCAGAGCATAGGCTTGTGAATGCGAGCCTTTGAGCCTGAGGATGAGTGGGGAGAGGTCATTAAAGTGGGACCACTTTGTGCAGTGAGTCTACACTGCAGTAGAGCATTCAGATTACTCCTGACACCTCAGCCCTCAGGGTGTGGGGGCAGAGTA